CAAGACAGCAAAGCAGCTGAGAGATTTGATTTGGCTCCTTAAATAGAAGAGTAAGTTTAAACACTGTTATAGAAAATTAATGCATCTCATACACTGTAGTTCCTTTATTTTTAATTCTCTTGTAAGTTAAAACCATACTTTTCATTGCTTGTAAATTTTCCCTTCCTCAACAGAACAGAAATTGAATACAATGTTTATAACAGATCATCTTATTTTCTTTAGAAAGTATTTAAGCACATTGAAAACAACTCTTTCCAACTGTGTGAAGATATTGCATGAACATGGGCACAGGAAGCAGCCACATTTTGTCCTAAGCTATTCTTTATCAGTTGAGTCCAGAACTGAACCAAGTAATTTAAAAGCAGTAAGACGAAAGAGCAAAATCTGTGACTCAAAGATAAACACTAGTCTAGGTTTATCTGAGAAACAGTGAAAATGTAGCTGACGAGGAGCAGCTTTTGACTCAGCTTTTCTCTCCATGTAGAATTAATAGTGGTAATGTTTCTGTTCTGCCAGTGACCATACAACTGCCTTTTAAAAGCATGAGTGTGACAGTCACAGCTCGTGTCCCAGGTCCCTCATACCAAGTATCCCAAAGACTGTTTTCAGGTTTCTTAGCGATGTCAGCCCACCCCTGAGTAGAAGTAGTAACAGGAGCGGGGCTTGGGTGCAGACACCTGGAGAGGGCATATGAGCAAGGCAGCTTACAATGGTGCTTTCCCAGGATATTCTTCCATCCGCCAGCAATGTAGTGCTGAGGGGCTCTGTGAGCCAAACACGGTGTATTTCTGTTCAAAATCTGCAGATTTCTCCTGTGAATTCACCAAGATGCTTTCTGAACGCAAAAATCCAAACCAGAACAGCATGCGCCCACAGCGTCCCATGAGCTCTATGGCTCGAATGCTCTTCACCTTGACCCCTCTGTTTGGAAGCTGCCCCTTCCCAGTTTTACCAGATGCCCCCTCAAGAGCCAGGGAGCAAGGGGAATCCTCACTCACCGTCTTACCGCCCTCTCCACCCCTATTTCGGCAAGCACCGAGTCTGAAGAGGAGGCATTTAGATACTCTATCACTCGCAACCACTCGTCTGGAAGTCAGGAGTTGATGAGGCTCCCTGAGGAGAGCGAACCCCCTCCCTCCCGCCCGCCCGC